TAAAAAACATAGATTTGTCTAAATATTTTATTTTATTGATATCTCTATTAACAATTTAATAAGTAAAAATACAAAACATATTTCTAGATGTCGCTGGAGAATGTTGATTACAGGGTCATCATGTTAAAATGTGTGAAGACATTGCGCAACAGGATAGCCTATAAATTTTTTTTCAGATTTTTTTTCAGAAATTCATATATATTCACATATAGTTTTGTTGTTTTTTCATTGATTAACTCAAATACTCAAATAAGGAATCAGTTCTGTAATAGCTGTTATAGACTCAGTAGCAACCGTTCAAAACTGACAGTAAATTCTCGAATTAGGAGTTATTATTGGTGTCACTAATGAATTTGAATCTCTACTTCCCATGTCATGAACTTTTCATGTTCCCAATCCTAAATCAATTAAATACCTTATTATTTATTTTGTAGGGTGAACAATCCTCAGCTATCAAAGTTATTAAAAATCAGTGGAATCAATTGGAACCTGTAATGAAGTCCCAAATTCCTTTGACCCTGTTCGTGACCTTAATTAGAAATCAACCTGCTGAAGACTGGGATAAGTTTGGCCTGCAACCATTTCAATACTTTGGAAGCACAGTTAAACATCAATTGTAAAGGTTGTATACGATGTTCACGGAGGATCAAAACTTTATTTGATGTGATTTTGGGACCCAAATATTTAAAGATCTCTATATGTGATGCTTTTATTATCGTTATGAAAGAGAAATACTGAAATAGACAAACTGCATAGTCACCCTAGTATAATCACTTCATGTAGTTCCTTGAATTCAGTACAGTATGTGGTTTTTGGACCATCTGTTCACTGGACTTGATCACTGTGTCTGTAGCACAGTAATACACTGCAGAGTCTTCAGTCTTTAAGCTCCCCATCTGTAAGTACAGTGTACTTTTGGAATTGTCTCTGGAGATGGTGAATCGTCCCTGTACAGACTGAGCATACATTGTACTATCACCATCATAGTTGATGTAGGCCAACCATTCCAGTCCTTTCCCAGAAGGCTGTCTGATCCAGCTCAAAGTTCTATCGGTAATCGTATCTCCATCATCATCCTGACCAGAGCCCTGACAAGACAGTGTGAGAGACTCTCCTGGCTTTTTAACCTGAGGATCTGACTGGGTCAGAACAATGTCAGATCGGACACCTGGAAACAGAAAACAAAGTCAGAAAGTTGCTGATGGTTGCTGGAGTGGCTGTCTTTCTACTTGCGAGCAGATACTCACCTGACAAACACAACACTATCATGAGGAAAAAGCTCAATGTCTGCATTGTGACCTGTTAGCAATGCCAAGAAAGAGAACTTCGGTGTTAGCTGTCTTCCTTCTCTTGTGTGGCTCTTGTGTCAGAGGGTTAAATAACAAGAGGAACTGGTAGATTTGCATAAACATCTAGGACAAAATATTTATAGAAATATGCTGTATTGTTGTGTGTATTTGTGCACAGTTTATATAGCTGCTTCTGGTATGTCAGTAATTTAAATAGACAAAGAAGGTTCAGACTCTCTGAGGATCAGAGTGGTTTGTAAATGCTGTATATTGTTCATTGCATATGATGATTTTCTTACAGTGTTGATTTGATTCGATTCAATTCAGTTCAACTCAACTCAAATACTATACTATAAAATAAAATACTTTATTCATTCCCAGGGTGGCAATGTAAGAAGGATTTATTGCATTTCTTTCGGTAAAAATATTTTGGATTCATTCATTCAATTTTAAATCATGAGTATATCACAAGATTAAAGGTGTTGGTTATAGAACTTGGATTTCTAATTTGAGTCACTTGACAAATATATAGGAGACACACTGGATAAAATTATAAAAAGAAGTATTATCTATTATTATGTTTTTATAATGTGTTTAAAATTGCCATCCTCATCTGAACAGGACTTGAATTTCATGTGAAGGAAGTTAATAAGAATTTCTAATTTCTCTGTGTATCTGTGATTATGTATGTATTTGACAAAGATATACTACATTGTCTCACAGTACCCCCTACTGACTAATGTGCATTACTGCTTTCAACAAGCAGAGCAAAGCCTACAGTCACTGTAGCCAGGAATGCAGCAGTTCACACTCAGAGTACGCTTGCTTGTTTGGAAACATCTTTAAAAATCTAGTTTGAATGGAGAGAAGTGTATTGAAATTTGAACTTAATTGATAAAACTTTCACTTTAAATACTGCTAAATGAGAAAGACCCTCTAAGACAAATCAGAAAAAAAAACAGTTAATATCTGCATACTGGCATATGTTATGTTCTTTGACACTAAAATTACTGTTTCAATGTCCCGGAGGGTAACATCTACATCTTCACATTCAGTGTCAATGGGACAATCTTTCAAAACAAAATTTTGGAATCAGTTCAACTTAACACTGTTCAACTTCTACCTTAGAACACTGTAGTAATAGTTTTGGTACAAGCAGTATATCAACATCTTTTACTGCCTCTATAGCACAGTAATACACTGCAGTGTCTTCTGTCTTTTCTCTATAAATGCACTCTATCTTTGGAATTGTCTCTGGAGATGGTGATTAGTCCTAAGCACATGGGATATAATCTATGCTTCTAACAGTATTACTGATGTCACCTAACCAGTCCAGTCCTAGGAAACTGTTGGATCAAGTTCACATAATAAACAGTATTGATATCTCCATCCTTGTCTTGTCCAGATCCCTGACAAGACAGTTTGACAGACTCTCCAGGCTTTTTAACCCAAAGACTGGACTGGGTCAGAACAATGTCAGACTGGACACCTGGAAAGAGACAAATCAGAGGTAATATCTTCAAGTAGGTAGCTGTGTCAGCATGCGTAGGCTGCAAAGGAACAAGAAAAGGTTTATTCCATGCTGGAAAGAGACGCTCCTCCAGTCCTTGGGGCTCATCATTAGGGTAAGGATGTCACGAGGCCCACCAAGCACCAGGAAACCCTACGTCAGATCACAGATCAATCCTGCCCTGCTCTGTCTTGCCAGCACATAGCTTAACTCATCAGGGATGTCTGGCCAAAGGAATTTTTTAGTATAAACTTCTTTATTCACATTAGAAATTTCCAGAGTCAAACTGTAATTCCAAATGTTTCTTTGATGTTTAGTTCACAATAGTAAATTCATATTAACTTGTGTCTGAGAATAAAAAAGGAAATTAAGTACATGAGACTGATAGAACTTATCAATGAATTTCAGGTCCTGTTTTGTGTCTGTGTGTTTATACAGATTACAAAGTAAGCTTCAGACAAAGAAGGGGGATCCACTACACCCAGTGCTCAAGTGCAGCCTCATCAATGTGACAAACTGTGCCATTTTGACCCTGTAATCAACATTCTCCAGCGACATCTAGAAATATGTTTTGTATTTTTACTTATTAAATTGTTAATAGAGATATCAATAAAATAAAATATTTAGACAAATCTATGTTTTTTATGATGCAACATTCTAAGGTGTAAAATAATCCTATCCAGTTTCCTGGGTTTGTGATCCTGTCCTTGGTCAATACCATGTGTTTGCCTTTTGCTGCCCTGGATCTGGATTTGGAATTTCTCACTGCTCTGTGAGCTGAAGAACCTCAGGCAATCTCATTGCTCTTCCAGTCCTGCATAAACAGCACCATCATGTCCGTAGCGTGATCAAGCCTAGTGTAAGTTGGTGGAGAGGTTTGATTAAATTGGTAGGTTTTGCAGGCATAACTTGCCTGACAGAGGAGAACAATAACCCATCAGGAAGGACGGGGCTGTATGCCCTGCCCCCAACCTTTAATGAGAATCATCTAGGAACCATCTGAAAGGAAAAAGATGGAGTGGAAAGAGGGATAAAGAAATGAAATGTGCATTAAATCTGCAAGACCCATGATTTCAGTTGTTTGATCAAAATATTCTAATGATGAAACAAGCTGATGTGTATAAAAGGATAACAGTGCAGGATTGGAAGAGCCGCGGTGAACACCAGTAAAACCCGTTGCTCCTGTTTGAGGAGAGAAGACGAAAGAGAAACACCACTTTACAGCGAGGTCCAGGCCAAACTAAAAAAGAAAAGAAAAGCCGAGTTTGACAGTGGGGTCCAGAGGAAAAAGATACTCCACTATGTCAATGAGGTACTGTATGAACAAGGGATAACTGCTGCAATGGCGATGTTGAGGTAGAGGGATGGGTTTTAGAAAAGATGTGAGCAGTGCAGTGTTCTGTCTGTGAGGTCTTACACACAGGAAAGAGGAAGTTCCAAAATCATAATTTGACCTCCTCTCAAACTTCTGTTCAACATCATCATATTTATATGGAAGTTGGAGGAAGTGGGTGAGATTAGGGATTGACCTCCTCCCAAAGTC